TTCCTAATTTCCAATGTCATAACAAACAGGACTAGTTGGTAGCCTGTTATAGCACATATATTCTTGCACAACAGTGGTCATACCGCTTGTAAGTTGTTTCTAATGGGCACTTAAATAAAGAGGCATCCATTAGCAGATGCACAGACCGGAGCTCCGCCATCCTGTAACCACCTCTAACACCGATCTGAATCATAGAACCAACTTTATTCCCTTTTATTTGTTAATTTGAGATTTTCTAAACACGCAGACTCCCTCTTTGACTTCCAAACACAGATGGGAATTAGTAATCACTGTGGGACCCTGAGAAAGTGCTGGCTGGGAGACAAACAAGAAGACAGGTTTCTGAGTCATTGGCAACGGTGGCTATGATGGTGTCAGTATGGGCATCAGTCCAAAAGGCACTTTCGTTGCAATTAGCTGGTGGCAGAGTGGGAAAGTCAGCGGGTGAAACTCCCCTGTCTGTCTCGTACTGTGCAACATTCCGTTTAATTTGCTTCCCTCGCTCGTACCTACTCCATCACCGTACGCCTACAGAGTGAGCAGTTAAAGCCACGCAGGCTGGGGTTAGGTGACCTTATGCCTTACGCATTCATTAATCGCAAGTTGATGATTGTTAATTAGACGTTGACCTACGATTAATGTCCGTCGCGGTCGTCACTGCGGTGGCCACAGATGTACACATGCATGTGCACCAATACACACACACACACATTACATGCCTCCAATATTCACACATTTCGCTGGTTTAGACAAATAAATAAGTCTTACAGTAGGAATCTGAATTTGAGGGTCGGATAACGACAACAATAGAAAAGCCGCCTGTCGATACCATTTAAGCCACATTCTTGGTTTATGTTGGGAAATTTCGGTGTATGGATTGTGATGGCTAACATCTTGTCACTCAAATTCAAAATCTGATGTCTTTAGATCGTAAAAGTTATTTATTTTTGAGGTGATTGGCAGCATTTAATCTTGGATTTCGGAGACGCCAGGTAAGATTTATATTCCATACTTAGTTAACCCTAAAACGGATTACTACTATCTGTCCATCAGAAAGTAGGGATTAATTATGCTTGCTGGGTGCCAGCTCAGGACAAAGCTTTTGCTCATCATTCACTGCTTCCATTTTTCTTGCTTTTCACTTTGCGTTTTAAACCAGTTCCTCCCATCAACATGTTTTAGTCGCGTATGCAATTTGTTTTTGCAAAAACATAAATGTCCATGCGCAATGGTAAACAGAAAAAGCCAAGATTTTGGCGATAGCTTGTTCATACTCGAACATATTTATCAGTGAAGCCCAAACAGTTATAAAAAATGTTTAAATTAGGTTTCATTTCGACTACTGACCTGTACTGATCCAGTTATTACGGGTTTTTTGTGTTAGCAGCACCACAACCTCTTAGTTACTCAAAACTATTGTCCGATAAGCCAGAGTGAATGAATTCAATCTCTTATGAGGACTCCTCTCTGAGGATGTCAATCGGGATGACTGAGGCTTTGTTGCTGTGCTTAAATCGTTTCTCACTCGTTGCAGAAAAGTCACCTCCCTATTCAATGACATGCAGTTTATCATGTCAGGCGAAATGCTACAAAGCGAGATTGAAATTTATCACCCTATGAATCACTAAATACTCGTCTCCTCCTCTGGTGGCATTAATGTGTTGGTTTGAGATCACGTTACATCCGATTGCACCGCAATGGCCATCATTTCACTTTCAAGTGCCATCAGTCACCCTTTGTTTGTATTTCCACCCTAGCTGGCGCCATTGTGGCGTTTGCGTGGGCAGCCGTGCGCGTACACTCACAGGTCATGTGCTGACTTGGTTACAGGATAGCGGTCACCATCCCCGCGCCGTTGTCACTATCACCGCCATCCTTAGTTCACATTAGTGCACCCTCATCTAAGTGCGTGTTTTGTCAGGGCCGTCACCACCACAGCGGGCCCATGACTCACTCAGTGAAGGTGGAGGTATACAGCGTTTAAAACAGTTTAGCTTCCCGTGGGAGGCCGCTAGAGTTGTTTATACGACATCTGTACCCCGTCTCAGACAATGACACCCATCATGGCGACTGGATGGAAGACAATAGCGAGAGCCCTAAGGTACACGAGTTCGTGCCGAGATTTACTACTGTCATACGAGAGAGCTAGATCAATTTCAGTATGAACAGGTCGTCATGACACCGCAGAAGAATCAGAATTTGAAGGGTAGAAGTGTATGCTGACTCCCAACTTAAAGGACTAAATGGGCTGCAAAAATGACTTAACTTGCCATAAATCCATAAGTCAGCCTCCACATTACAGGGGTTTAGTTCCTCCTTTTTGAAAAAAAAGGGTAAAATGGGTTATATGTAGCTAATCTCGCTCACCCATCTCAATTCATGTTTTAGGGGGATTCTGGACGCCAGAAATGATCATCATCATTGCCCTTGTAGCCCTCGCCCTATCCATGCTAATTAACTGCTTCTGCTGCGTAAAATGGATTATTAGACGGCATCACAGAGGTGAGTTGCTCCCACTCTGCTTCTTCAACCTCAGTTTGACAGTATCCTTTAAATTGTGACGAGTTGTGTCTGTCAGACCAGGTAAAGTGATTCAACAAAGCGTTGATACTTATCCAATTTGTAAACTGGTTTTGTGAAACAGAAGCAAAGTAGTTTGCAATGTAACAAATCAACAAGCGCAGCGGCTGGGAGAAAATCACTTCGCGTATTTCTTGTTTGGTGATGCTTTAAACTCTTTACGACGAATAAACAAGATAATGTAGATATGTGCACAAGTTCAGCGAAAATAGATGTTAAAAGACCATCCGCCAGTGTGGGTAAACATTTTCAGGGCTTCATTCTCCGGGCGAGGCTTGATCCAATCAATTCCGCCTTTGTGTGTGTATGTGCATGCCAAAGCTTATGATCAGATGGTAAAATAAAGACATTTCCAAACTATGTCTAGCACGTCTAGTTATTCTGTCACAATTGTATGGTTGCCGTGCCAACACTGGTTTTTTTTACTATGGGATGAGGAAACGATCTTCCTCCTGATGGAATATTGTGACAACCTAAGAAATCAACTGTCTTGGTACTGATATTAAACATTTCTTCACCTCTTCCAGCTTCGTCGTTGCTCCACATGACGAGTGCGTTTTAAGAAGTTGCGATTTTTCGCCTCTTCCTGTCACCACAGTTTTGTAAGGGTAGAAGTGGTTTGCTAAAAACTTCGTTCAGATTCATTTCAGTGAAGCACATACTGGCCACACGATACGGTAACAATCGGTCAAGTCAACGCTTTTTCTTATTTAGTTGGCTTCATCGTTTACTTTCCAAGAAGGTAACAAAACTCCGTTTGCAACTAGGCGGATTTTCGGTCACTCTATAAAAGCTGCATTTGCTATTATCGTTTTCAAATGCCATATGAACTGGTTTATTAGGTGTTTAAAAGATGTCGGAATTATCGCCGAGCATTTGATGTTTGTCGCTTGCGCCTGAGATGTAGAAGGTCACCTACAAACGATTCGAAATGCTCTCATATGATATTAGTTTACGCACTGTTAGCTCTCGAAAACTGAAAAAAAATAGTTATTCACCTCAGACAAAGAATATCCCACATCTGTCGCACCAAACTCAACACAGTCAATTTGTATCACGACTTGGTGCAACTAGTCTCTACAAATTGGCAACTAAAATACAACGGCACTGAGCCGTTAATACCGACGCTATCGGCAGGCTACACGAATTTAGGACCAACTTTGCTATGCTGTTCCACAAGAATTCTAAGACAGTGCTTATCACTTAAAAGATTACTTTTGAATCGTTTTTATCCACGTAATAAAATGAAACTTGAGTGGAGGCTGCGTTTGTGCACTCTGAGCGAAATCCTGCTCGATTACCTCGTTTTCCATTAATTTTCTCTTTCATAGATAAAAGGAAATTGAAAGGAACTGATACTTTTGGTGGTCAGAGTGATTTCAAACCCACAGGAGTCATCCCCACCGTTGCGTGGTACCCTGCAGATCCCAGAGTTCTACCTCCCGGCCCACTGGCACAGCAAATGACACCCAGTTCAGCTTTCCGTCGGTCTATTGCCATTCCCGACGAGTCGTTAGTAGAGAACCCCCCACTGTGGAGTCCCTTTGAGAACGCCAATGCAGCGCGCGCTCACCCCGAAGGAAAAGCAGCCAATGGAAGCACTATGAGTAATTCTGCTGACCGTAACTCGGACTCGGGGTTCTCGATTCCCCATCCCGGTGCACCGCAACCGATTCAAATACTCTCAAACCCTGCCGCCTACCCAATAAGCTTTGAGCCATTAGGTTGGTCTGGACCAGTCACTCCTCGTCCCAAATATCATGCTCACCGTCTACGACATCAGTTTGTGCCATCCTACTATGTCGGAGTAAAGCGAGCCAGCTCGAGAGAGACAGTATTCTCAGAGCGACCAATGTCCGAAATTGGATTCGAACCGACCTCTCACCACCAGCATCACTACATTCCTGTAGTTCTAGGTTCTGGAGGTGGTATACGAGCCTCGCAACCGCAACTAGCGTCAGTTTCCGCCTACGGTGCTCCGTTATGTAGTGCCGCCGATGTGAATTTAATCGGGAAACCGGGAGCAGGGGATGGGGCCAGTGCAGGAGGTGGTAGTGGATCGCCCAAACCTGGAATGGCTGTCCTCCTACCTGCCGCTGTGCTTGGTCACCAATATGGTATAATTCCGCCTCCATCAAGTTCCACTGAACGTTCCTCCGTACCCCTTTTAAAAGCGGAATTGTCGGTTAAATCGAAAACAATGGCCCCTGAGGCCACTTTGGAGGAAGTGGGTGAGTAAAGTATTTTTTCTCACTTAAGTGAACTTATTGAACTAAAGACGGTGACACTGACTTTCAATCTTTACGCGTTTAACCACAATAGATTCATTTCTTAAGCAACAACTATTGTTTTGTTCACCAGTTTAAACTACGTTGGTAGGCGACACAGTGCTTTTGAGCCCAGAGGTGTCAAATGGGTACGTTTGGCGCTTCTTCCATACTGTTTCATCCTTATGGCTTTGCATGAATATTTTGAATCTTATAGAAGGTAGATGGGAAACCATCAGTGTTGAAAGAATCCCCAGAAAATTATCGGCAAGTCACAGCAATGTGTGTTAAACTTATCCAACTGTTAAAGAAGTGCAGGAGGTATTGAGAGTTAAGATACTTGATGCAACAGCATAAACAAGTTAGGAAGATCTGCAAAGAAACTTTTAAAAACGATGGTAGATCGTTATTGGCTCCTCAGCTATGGACTCCCAAGGATCCTTTCACCCGCGCTACATGCACACCTTTTGGCCTACCAATTTGCATCAACCGATATGAGAAATGGAGATTGGCGTTCTTTGCAGTCGAGGCTTCTTTCCGGAGAGAAAAGTAGAATGAACTCCGTAATCAGTTAAAAATTCTAGCATTATGCTGCATTGATGCGTGTACATGTTTAAGCTGACAATACGTAAAATGGAATTGCATGGTGATCTTTTCGCTGGTTAAGTCTAACCTCAAATAGCAAGATGAATGCATGTAAATAAACTCTTGTATAAGTGTATGCACCAGGCTCTTGTACCTATTGCCAACTGCAAATAAGGATGAAGCTGTTGCCAAGTCCTTTGAAAACCGTCTAAACCACCCTGCACTTCATGCTAGATTCACATGCACGCGACGCTTGATTGTGAAGTGATTTGCAAAGTAGGTAGATGACATTTGAAGTCGTCATCTCAACAGCGTTTAGCACCAAATGATGAGGTGAGAAAGGCTGAAATTACTCTTCCTGATCGATGTCTATTTTGCTTGTGTTATCGCAGCACTGAAGGCGTTTTGGCTCAGAGAGCCACTTCGTGAAACTTTTATCGAGTGGTTGTCATTTTGTGTTACCACAAATTAAATTAGGTCTATCATCCATAAATTAAAGGCATTTTATGAGGTTTTTGTAGTACTCTAAAATTGTACTACTTTTTCTGTCAGCGCTCCCATTGCTCAGCACTAATGAGAAAAGTTTTAGCGTCTAGTCTTCCAGTTTCATCATTTCCTTCCACCTTTGACCTCTTACGTTAGTTCTATTTCCATTTTGGCAGCGTCTTGCACCAAAAAAAATTTGTCATCTTTGAATGCACTGCCTTGTTAGTTATTTAACGGCAACGTCACCATGTAACAATAAAAGTGCATTTCATCTTTTCAACATTTGCAAATCAACCGCATTAAGTGCCGAGGATAAATGGTGGTTGCACTACTGGTCTTTGGAACAACAACATTTTTGAAGTGAAAGGACGAGTTGCAGAGTGCTTCCAAACTTTCCCATTGCATCGTGGATCCCTTGAATTCACTCTTAGTGGGTAAGGTCACTGCTTTCGGTACACCACGCTCCGTCCCCATCGAAGTGGATTCACTCACCACAATCGCCTTGACGAATGGCAAACTGTAAAGTAGTGAAGGATTTCCTTGTAGTCGATCCAACTGCTCCTCCGTAATGCCCCACAAAACAGCTTTTGCTAACCACAAGGTGATTTATCCTCACCAAGCAACAACCATAAAGGCTTTCGGATTTTACTCATGCTGAGAGTTCAAATTTGGTTGGTGTGGCCCTAATGCTGAAAGAAACACCTATACACTGTTGTCAATCAATCTGTCCATTCGTATTTATTCCTGCTAAAGTTAGGTCATCATACTTTCTGAATTCAGTAAGCACTCTTTTTCTGGACGCATAGACACTTTAATTTTATCCAATCAAAGCGGTTCACTTCAATTAACTCATTCCTTTGAAGTCATCTGGAAGTCAAGATCTGACTCAGTCCTCTTAGCCCAGGCAATGGAGAGGCTGAACCTTAAAAAGGGTTTTGCACTTGGTCAGTTGATGCAATACACCATTTATGTTTTTTTTTACTACAGATGTAGTAAATGAAGCGACAGGCAAAAGTGCAGCGGAAGTACGAATGTGGCTCCAGTCGATGCCTAGCGCAGACAAAGATCATCAGTCGAGGTTACCGACCAAGTTGGCAGACAGTTTGAATACGGATTATGATGTGCCAAGTGACTGGAGCGAACGCGAGCCTATGCTGATGCGTGAGAAACCGAGTAGTGAAGAGACTGCTCCAACTGAATGATCCTGATCTCAAGAATCGCATGGCACACACACACAAAACCCCTGTCCTTGTTGTGTGATCGTTTGTAAAGGACGTTCTTCGACTCTTCTTTCCCTCTCTTTCATCTTTTTGACGGTGTTCTTCGGGTTTGGCAATGACTTTTGTGTTTAAAACCTAATCTTACCTCATTCTAAACACCGTTTACCCATTGGGAGTCCAGTGTAAGTTAACCCGTCATTTGCATAATTAAGAGGTCCGGTAAGCCTTTAAGATGAAAGTAGCGGTTCTTTTCTCCACAGTATCAGTTTGTAAAGTCTATTTTGAATAAGTGGTAGATGAGGTTGCTTTGTAAATGCGAGGATGCCATCACTGTGCCAGGAGAAGTCGCGTGATTAGCCTTTAACGTGATGGAAACGGGTGTGCTGCTTTCACACTCATCAATGTAGAGGTTGACTAAATACACCCTTGGCATTGATCATAAGTCACCTCATGCCAAAGGCTGACCTGGATCTCTCAAATAAATCACCTACGTCATCAAGCGCATGCTCAACATGCCTATCAACCTGATGTGTCGTTTGAACTAGATGTTGAGTTTTTCTAGCAACAAAAGGTGAAGAATAGGAAAAAAGATGGCGGCAGTGTAATGCTCCGAGAGTACACTTTAATGTATTAAAATCACAATTAATTGATGAAATCATCGATGGGGTTAACTTGCAGTATCTCAGGTTATAAAGGATGAAGTAATCACTGGCATTTTATCAAACGAGGTGACAACCCAGATTGTTTCCCATTTCCACAGTCGCTTACAGATGCAACACCCAGTGTCTATGAGCAAATTCTGTTCAAAGGAAAATTCTGTGTTTCGTGGAAAACATTTTAAGCTGGACTTTTTTACTTGTTAAAGTATTTTCGCGGTTGAATAGCGCTTAGAGCGCTGTTTGTGCTCGCATTATTTATGAGGCCTAATAAGCTAAGGCAAGATAATAATCCCACAATGACTATCGTTTCAGCTGGAAAAAAAACTTCCCGAATAAAATTATTGCTTAAGCTACCACATAAAGAATACGACTTCCAACTCCTTAACCGGGGAGTGTGGCTCTAAAATGCAGTGCCAAGAGGAGGTGGCAAGGCTGGGATTGAGCATCACGTCGATCTGACCTCTTAATTGGGTTAGATTATCAGGGCAAAGCACTCTTGGGTATCGTATCTGGCAGTAAAAGGATAACTTCATCCTTATGTTATGCTGGCAAGGGTGGATCGGCAATTGACTTAAGGAAATGTCTTGCTGAAGTGAAGTAAAGTGAATTTTCGTCTTCCTCCTCCTCCACCTCCACCTAGAGGCTGTTCATCTCCCACCTTTTATAAATAAAATACCTTCGCTGCCATTGGACTCCTTTTTTTCGGTTTAGAGCTAAACTATAAAAAGGCAAACATTTGATTTTTGTTCCCCATGCACAGTCAACTTTATGTTCACGTCTGTCCGGCTGGGGACAGTCGACTTCAAAATTGTAGTTGTGTTTCACTAAGAATACAATGCTGTTCTATTTACCTCATAGTTCTCACTTAATAAACATGCACAAATGACGAAGCATGGTGTTGCGATGAAAGCTTTATGCAATCAGTTTACATTACTGACGCATATAAAGTCATCCTGGAGGTGGATAATATAAATCCTGCAGTGAGTGTTCTCTGTCCAAAACAATGTTTAGACCTAACACTACCGAGTCTTGTATAAAGTCCATTCAAAGGGCAATCTATTTTACGACAAAGAAATGAGTCAAGTGTTTGTTGAAGCCCGCTTTTCTGCTTTTAGTGAGTGGACTGGAAATGGCATTAGCATCGGCAACTAGTCCACATGGACATACATGCATACTCTCTTCTTCAGCGCTTTGTCCCCTTTCCCGCTTAGGGAAGTCCAGCGGCACCACTGAGGTCACGATCAATTGTGAAAAAGTGAGAGTTCCCCTTAAACTTGCCCAATCAGGCTCTAATGAACAAATGATGATTGATAGTTAATAAAACTTGCTATGAATGTGAACCTGAGCTCACATGTGTTCAATTGAGAGCTAATGCATGTGGTAGGAAGTAATAACATGGTTAAGATTGCATGCAAGTTGAGCTTTCATTCTACTTCGAGTGTTCTTGAGGCATTTTATTTGGAGTCTGAACAGATGCGAACAAGTGGTATCATGCTAAGTCGAAACGGTGAGATCGCCGTAGTAGTAGGCCATCTGAGTATGACAAAAAAAATACATAGGTATGGCAAAAAATTGTGTTTTGCATGTGATTAGTTGGCACACTTGAAGTTTATTTAAATCTAACTGGTGCTTTAATCTAAACTGAAGAATACACCTTCAGAACATCTTTGCTGTCAAATTATTTATTTAACTGACCAAAGAAGTAAAATCCCATCATCGCGAAGGCATTAACGAGCATCACAGAGACACGTGAAACTTAACTGTTTTATAAACGCATGTCTTCTGCTATGCCTTAGCCTAAAGTGGCGTGTCACTCATTGCATGTCCGCTGGGCGGCGCGGTCTGCAGGCAGTAGCGCCATACTCTATAGCAGGCCAACAAAACATACTCTCTCCAGGTGTTATGTCTGTTTGCGACCTTAGGGAGGTCTTAGAGTGCTGCATCAGAACTAAGTACCACTAAAATTGGCACAAAGGGGGGGGGGAAACCATCACTAAACACTCCCCTACTTGTACACACGCGCAATAAAAGGAGCATATCACAAAAAGCTCTGTTGTTCAACCGAAAAATGTAAAAAAGGTCATGATTAGTGGCTAAGCTAACCCAAATCCATTCTCCAACTGTAGTCAGCTCTTTATGTGCATAATAATTGCACAAAGGAAAAGTCATTTCATCGACATTGCCAACCGCAGTAGTTTATTTCGCCAACATGTGAGAGTCGGTTTTTGATGGAATTATTGGCACGAGACTCCACTTACCTCTTTTTCATCCAATCAATCGCTTTTGCCATCTCTTTTTAATTTCTTCTTCTCTTTCTTTGCGACAACTTTGGTAAATCCATTCACATGGACTGAGTCTCAAAGTTAATTGCACAAGATGCAACTTTACTCTTTGTCGCGCTCACCCCAAAAAAACCATCGAAACGTATTTATTAGGGGGCAGTTAAAGTTTTGCGAAACATTTCAGCCGACAAGCTTGGTCATCTGGGAAGGTAAATCAAGCAGCAGTCAAATGCAAAAAAAGTTGTGTAAAAGTTTCAAAGTTCCAAAGTGGTTGGCTTATGATACACCTGCTGAGGTTTGCATCAGTCATTCTTGCCTCAATAACCACGAGAACCTTTATCTTGGCAATGCCATATACCTTTCTCACGCAACTACACCCATCGCTCTTTCTCCTGTGATCCTCCGTGACGGGGTATGGTGAAATGGTTGCTTGTTAGTAACAACTATCCAGTTCTCAGTCGCCTTATTACCGAACCAGTGCCAAATTTGATCCGATGATTATGCCTAACAGCACATATTTCATTGATACAATCGCTCTCCTTGAGAATGCGTAGTGCCTTCGGGCAATTAAGCCCGAACAAATCTTGTGAGCCCTTTGTAAGTAACCCATTTATCATCCATTTTCTAGCTCCTAGGTGGAATGAATAGTAAGCAGTGAAAACAAGAAGTATTTGAATGGAAAGTAGATAAATTGACGAACAAGAAAGTTATTTCACGGCGTTAAAAAGGCCACAGTATTTTAAACGAAAACTTGAAAGGTTTGGTAATGAGTAGGCAGCTAACTAGTTACAAATAAATCAACTTTACAGGAAGAGTGAATCATGAGAAAGACTCTTTGTAGAGGCAACAAGGGGGATCTTTTTTTCAATTCAGCATATCTGTAAACCCCGCGACTCCTTAAGGTTCCATCGATGGCACAAGAAGGTACCTCGGAGCTTAAGGTCCTCTAGCGCGGACCGGAAGACAGCTCCATTCGGTAAGAGTGCCATGGTGGAGCTCAAATGAAGCCACAGCATAACCGAAAGTTAAACAAACAATGGTTGCACTTCACAAGCATTAATTTCTACCCGTTGCTTAACCTGTTGAGACCCTTGGCAGTGACTTGAAAACGGGTTTGAGGTGGACCTGCGGAAATTGTCAAAGCACTGACGTGTACGCGTTTGGTTAATTTATGAATAGCGGAGGCTAAAATAGTTGCATTTGGGTTGAAAATGGGGCCGGTTTAATATTTGAAGACACCAGTCTACCCACTTTGGCAAAAGAATTATGCACAGAGTATATTTTAAACCATCAGGAGTGGATGAACGATTGTGTTACGCCCATATCCTATTCAGGTTGTTCTTTTTTCTTTTTCATACCATTATAACCTAATAAGTCAACTATTTTTTTGCGTTTAGACTAGCGAGTCTAATGGACACCTGCATTGCTTTGGGCAAATCTTCCTGAAGACAGACTGGAGACCAGGAAATCAACTTGCCTATAACTGCAAGCAAAGTTGGTAAAAATTTTCAGTGAGTTGTTCGCATTCATACATTTGGCGCCTTCTTCAACTCATCTCGTACAGACTTGCGCTTAAAGTGTTGACACCTGAAATGGAAGGTGGAGACCGGGAGGACAGTCGTGGGATCCTGGAACCTGCCCTCCTTCCACAATGTCGAGCTGCTTCAGAGAAACCTACTGATCGGACACCCACGGGACTACTACCAAAACCGCAAAGCAAGCATCCACAATTTACTCACATTTGCCTGCATTCGCTTTGATAACATAATTTTGTTGAGCAAACAACTCCCTGTAGTCATTTCATTCATAATCAGGACATTTAAGAAAAAAAAATGCTGCACTGAAAACACGATTTAATGCCTTGTGATACAATGCCTCAATTGTATCTCTATTATCTAAAACATTACTGCTGTGTCAAGTAGACAATGTAGATGAAACAAAATTTTTCTTTAGAAGACATTCGTACGCATTAGCAAAGGCATCGCTGATTATTTACTAGGCCAAAATTTGTACTCAAGCCCATAAATTGTTGAACAAGTAG